TCATATCTGAGAGTCAAACAGGAGCGTCAAATACTGCGGTTACAGCGCATTTGTAAACATTCTAATTTTCTGGGTGCTAATAGAAACATAAAAACATAGAAACATAGAAACATAGAATGTGACGGCAGATAAGAACCATTCGGCCCATCTAGTCTGCCCAATTTTCTAAATACTTTCATTTCTCCCTAGTCTTATCTTATAGTTAGGATAGCCTTATGCCTATCCCACGCATGCTTAAACTCCTTTACTGTGTTAACCTCTACCACTTCAGCTGGAAGGCTATTCCATGCATCCACTACCCTCTCAGTAAAGTAATACTTCCTGATATTATTTTTAAACCTTTGTCCCTCTAATTTAAGACTATGTCCTCTTGTTGTGGTAGTTTTTCTTCTTTTAAATATAGTCTCCTCCTTTACTGTGTTGATTCCCTTTATATATTTAAATGTTTCTATCATATCCCCCCTGTCTCGTCTTTCCTCCAAGCTATACATGTTAAGATCCTTTAACCTTTCCTGGTAAGTTTTATCCCGCAATCCATGAACCAGTTTAGTAGCCCTTCTCTGAACCCTCTCTAAGGTATCAATATCCTTCTGAAGATACGGTCTCCAGTACTGTGTACAATACTCCAAGTGAGGTCTCACCAGTGTTCTGTACAATGGCATGAGCACTTCCCTCTTTCTACTGCTAATACCTCTCCCTATACAACCAAGCATTCTGCTAGCATTTCCTGCTGCTCTATTACATTGTCTGCCTACCTTTAAGTCATCAGAAATAATCACCCCTAAATCCCTTTCCTCATATGTTGAGGTTAGGACTCTATCAAATATTCTGTACTCTGCCCTTGGGTTTTTACGTCCAAGATGCATTATCTTGCACTTATCCACATTAAATGTCAGTTGCCACAATTCTGACCATTTTTCTAGTTTACCTAAATCATTTGTCATTTGGCTTATCCCTCCTGGAACATCAACCCTGTTACATATCTTAGTATCATCAGCAAAAAGACATACCTTACCATCAAGACCTTCTGCAATATCACTAATAAAAATATTAAAGAGAATGGGTCCAAGTACAGATCCCTGAGGTACCCCACTGGTGACAAGTCCAAGCTTCGAATATATTCCATTAACTACAACCCTCTGTTGCCTGTCACTCAGCCACTGCCTTACCCATTCAACAATATTTGAATCCAAACTTAAAGATTGCAGTTTATTGATAAGCCTTCTATGTGCAACAGTGTCAAAAGCCTTACTGAAATCTAGGTAAGCACCACCCTGATCTATAATTTTAGTTACCCATTCAAAAAAATCAATAAGATTAGTTTGGCATGATCTCCCTGAAGTAAACCCATGTTGTCTCTGATCTTGAAATCCATGTGTTTTTAGATGTTCCTCAATCCTATCCTTTAACATGGTTTCCATCACTTTCCCTACTACTGAAGTAAGGCTTACTGGCCTATAGTTGCCCGACTCCTCCCTATTACCTTTCTTGTAAATGGGCACAACATTCGCTAACTTCCAATCTTCTGGGACTACTCCTGTTAACAATGATTGGTTAAATAAATCTGTTAATGGTTTTGCTAGTACACCACTAAGCCCTTTTAATAGCTTTGGGTGTATTCCATCAGGTCCCATTGACTTATTTGTCTTTACTTTTGACAGTTGAAATAGAACCTCTTCCTCTGTAAACTCACGTGTAATAAATGACTCATTTATCCTTTTTCTCAACTGAGGTCCCTTTCCTTCATTTTCTTCTGTAAATACAGAACAAAAATATTCATTGAGGCAGTCAGCTAGACCTTTATCCTCTTCTACATACCTTCCTTCTTTTGTTTTTAATCTAACTAATCCTTGTTTTACTTTTCTTTTCTCATTTATGTATCTAAAAATGTTTTATCCCCCTTTTTTACTGACTGTGCTATTTTCTCTTCTGTGTGTGATTTGGAAGCTCTTACTTAACTTGCAGCCTCTTTTCTGCTTAAAGGACCACTCTAGGCACCCAGACCACTTCAGCTTAATGAAGTGGTCTGGGTACTCAAATCTAGGGTTAACCCATTTTTTAATAAACATAGCAGTTTCACAGAAACTGCTATGTTTATTAATGGGTTAAGCCTTCCCCCAAAACCTCTAGTGGCTGTCTCATTGACAGCCACTAGAGGCGCTTGCGTGCTTCTCACTGTGATTTTCACGGTGAGAGCACGCCAGCGTCCATAGGAAAGCATTGTAAATGCTTTCCTATGAGACCGGCTGAATGCGCGCGCAGCTCTTGCCGCGCGTGCGCATTCAGCCGGCGGGGCGTAACGGAGGCGGAGAGGAGGAGGAGAGCTCTCCGCCCAGCGCTGGAAAAAGGTAAGTTTAAACCCCTTTCCCCCTTCCAGAGCTGGGCAGGAGGGGGTCCCTGAGGGTGGGGGCACCCTCAGGGCACTATAGTGCCAGGAAAACGAGTATGTTTTCCTGGCACTATAGTGGTCCTTTAATCTTATAGATCATTTTGTCTTCCTCACTCTGGGTTTTTTTATAATTCCTAAATGCAAACTTTTTGTTTTTAACAATTTTGGCCACATCTGCGGAGTACCACAGTGGTTTCTTGAATTTTTTGCTTTTACTGACAAGCCTAATGCAATTCTCTGTTGCCTTCAATAGTGCAACTTTTAAATAATCCCATTTTTCTTGGACTCCATTTAAATTGCTCCAGTCTGTTAATGACTCCTCTACCCATATTCTAATTTTAGAAAAGTCTGTTTTTCTAAAGTCTAAAACTTTTGTTTTTGTGTGGTGTGACTCAGTCACTGTTCTTAAATTAAACCACACTGACTGATGATCACTGGATCCTAAACTTTCACCTACAGTAACATCTGATACCAAATCTCCATTTGTTAACACTAAATCTAGTATGGCCTCTTTACGAGTTGGCTCCTCAACAACTTGTTTTTAGAGACAATCCCAGTAGGGAGTTTAGAATATGTGTGCTCCTGGCACAAGTAGCTAATTTTGTTTTCCAATTTACATCAGGAAGATTAAAGTCACCCATGATGATAACTTCCCCCTTCATTGTCATTTTAGCTATTTCCTCAACTAGTAGATTATCTAACTCTTCAATTTGTCCTGGGGGCCTATAAATCACACCTACACGAGTTACTGTGTGATTACCAAATTCTAACGTAGCCCAAACGGACTCTATGTTTGCCTCACTAACTTTTATTAGGCTAGATTTTATGCTATCCTTCACATACAAGGCCACCCCTCCCCCTTTCTTGCCTTCCCTATCTTTTCTATATACAGAGTACCCTGGTATTGCTATGTCCCAGTCATTTTTCTCATTGTACCCTTCATATCTGAGAGTCAAATCGAAGTGTCAAATAGTGCACTTACAGCGCAGATGTAAAATTCTTATTTTCTGGGTGCTAAACTGCTAAATAGTACATTTTGGGGCCTGCTCTAAATATTTGAGAGTCAAATCGAAGGGTCTAATAGTGCTCTTACAGCGCAGTTGTAAACATTCTAATTGTTTTGCTGCTAAACTGCTAAATAGCAAATTTTGGGTGTGCTCTTCATATCTGAGAGTCAAATCGAAGCGTCTAATAGTTCGCTTACAGCGCAGTTGTAAACATTCTTATTTTCTGGGTGCTATACTGCTAAATAGTACATTAGTGGGTGCACTTCATAGCTGAGAGTCAAATAGAAGCGTCAAATAGTGCGCTTACTGCGCAGTTGTAAACATTCTAATTGTTTTGCTGCTAAACTGCTAAATAGTACATTTTGGGGCATGCACTACATATCTGAGAGTGAAATAGAAGCGTCTAATGAAGCGCTTACAGCGCACTTGTAAAAATTCTAATTTTCTGGGTGCTAATCTGTTAAGAAAATTAGAATGTTTGCAAATGCGCTGTAACCGCAGTATTAGACACTTCGATTTGACTCTCAGATATGAAGTGCATGCCCCAAAAAGTACTTCATATCTGAGAGTCAAATCGAAGAGTCTAATAGTGCGGTTACAGCGCAATTGTAAACATTCTAATTTTCTGGGTGCTTAATAGTACATTTCACAAGTCAAACTGAGAGGTCAGTTTATAGGGAAAACTGTTGCCTGGATACAATTCTAAAACAATTTCCATATGTCCTTTGCAGACTTTACATGCTGGAAAAACACAGGTGCCAACTGCTGTGGCTTTCTGCAGTGTGCATAGCGGCAAGGAGGGCAGGGTTGAGGAGTGGGTGGAAGATGATGTGGAGGATGATGAGGTCCTAGACCCCACATGGAATCAAGGTCATGCGAGTGACGTGTGCAGTTTGGATGAAGAGGCACCAGCACAGCATAAGAGGGAGTAGGGTGCAAAAGCGGAGCGGCTGTCCCCTAGTGCTCGTCAGCATGTATTATCTTTAGAATTCCCACAGTTATCCAAGTAACAGTTGAAGCGATAAAAAGAACCATAACAGATTTAACGAGCCATTCGCAGTTTCGCAGTCCGGTGACCGGAACCCAGACACTGTCTGGGCTGTGGTCGGACGACCGGGTCCCAGTATGCCTGATGTAGAAGTTAGGAGTCACAGTGTGGAATGGATTAGCAGGGTCTGGTGCAGGGTAACCGCATGCCCCCTCGTATTGAGCACCAGCGTTTGTGCGGCCACATACCAGGACCCTGATGCAGCTTCAGTAAAAAGAGTACTGGATACCAGAAGCCATCACCAGACTGATCCGCAACTTGGAACAGGATGTGACATTCACTGTACGCGCTTTCGGCGTTCTCACCCTGCTGCTGCTCGCATGTCTGTGCTGCAGTGTAACTTTGGCCTTCCCGCTCACTGCCTCATATGCGACGTGCTCACAATGTGGAACTCCACCTTACACATGCTGGGGAGACTGTTTGAGCAGCAGCAGGTGATAGTGGAGTTTTAGCTGCAGCTCTGCACCAGACTTCCCTCCAATTAATCAGAGTTAAAGGATTTCAAGTCGACTCATTACAATTACAGGGCCTCTAAAGAGTCCTGTATTGTTATTTGTCATCTCTACCTTCCCGCGTCGGGAGTGGGTCATTTGCGCGCCTGCTGCCTTCCTTGCATGTGGTAGCCGTTTGTCAGGGTTCCTGTATGGAATCGAACCCTGACTCCCCGTTACACGTGGTCACCATGGTAGGCACAGTCAATGGCATCGAAAGTTGATATGGATTGACATACGACTGCGTCTTCGCCTTCTCGTTGGGGAGCACATTGAAAAAGTGCTCTAGCATGACGAGCTGGGTGATCTCCTCTGGGAACTTGGCTTGATGGGAGTTGAGCCAGTTCTGGGTGGCACTTGTGATGCTACAGTATATACCCAGATATATCAGAGCTGCTGCAGAAAGTGCAGGCCGTCTGTGCGCGCTTTTGGCGTTCTTACCCTGCTGTTGCTCGCCTGTCTGTGCTGCAGTGTAATTTCGGCCTTCCCGCTCACCGCCTCATGAGACTGTGCAAGCAGCAGCAGGCGATAGTGGAGTTTCAGATGCAGCACGCACGGGTCAGTCGCTCTGCGGAACAGTTTTCTTTTTTTATATGTCCCAATTTAATTGGGGGCTACCCCAATTAAAATAAATAGATCTGTATCAAAAATTGTGTTGGCTACCACCTCCTCCTCCACCGCTGCTTCCACCTACACCGCCATGGTCACCGCCTCCTCAACCTATAGGTCACTTAGTATAAACTATGTACACAATAGCAGAGGCTTTTGAAGGCCTTTTCTCCATGCATCAGGAGTTGAGCATTTCTCCATGCATCAGGACTGCAAGAAATGCACCACAGGCCGCAAATGTTTCTTTTTTGATATGTCCCAATATTTTGGGGGCTACCCCAATTAAAAAAAATAAATAATAAAAAAATAAATAACTTTTTATATATATATATATATATATATATATATAAAACAGTGTTGGCTACCTCCTCCTCCTCCTCCACCGCCGCTTCCACCTACACCGCCACGTTCACCGCCTCCTCAACCTATGGGTCACTTAGTATAAACTATGTACACAATAGCAGAGGCTTGTGAAGCCCTTTTCTCCATGCATCAGGAGTTGAGCTCAGTTTGAACAATGAAAGAGAATACCTTGCACTCCAACCCTCTCTCAAATGGATAATTCTGTTGATCCTCCTCACAGCTATGCTTTAGATTTTGATTTATGTTCTTCCAAAGCTAAAATCAAAGATTCCATCTAGTGGTATTTTATGGCTCAGCTGTATTTTAAATTTTTATGTTATTTTAAGTGATTTCCCTATCCACATTTGTTTGCAGGGCACTCCTACTCTTACCCCCATTTTACTTCCTTTTGCAGCCCTCTAGCCCTTTCCAGAACTTTTTTATAGGCATTTTTGTGGCCAAAAGTTCAGGTCCCCATTGCCTTCAATGGGGTTCGGGTCATGTTCGATCACGAACCCGGACTTTTTTTTTTTCAAAGTTCGACCGAACCCGAACATCCAGGTGTCCGCTCAACTGTAGTTAGTAGTTATGGTTGTTATAGCTACTCTCGGTCCCACTAGGTTATGGTCTTTATGGTTGTCTTTCTACATAACTAGGTACTAGGCCATCCAGTTTTCCTGACAAGTCATTTAGTACCGGTCTATTTTTTCAAGTGTCATACCGGCAGGTCTCTCTATACATATCTGAAGGTATCTCACATTAACAGATACTACATCACTACCATTACTCTCATGGGTTGTTACTGCAGATCGTTTTTCCTACTCCGACTCCTCTTTGATCTTGTTGTTTCACCAGGTATGTCTATCTGTTCTCTGTCATACCTCCCTACCATTTATGTTTGCTAACATATGTTTATACTGGCTTACTAGGATAGGGGCCTCTAGAGTTGTTTTCCAAGGCCTCTTAAGCCTTAAATTAGTGTTCCCGCGAGGCCATCACCCATCCTCATCGTAGAGATATGTTCGTCTCTCGGGCCATGCATAGCTAGTCGCCTCACTTTGTTGCATACTGGCCTCACTTGTCATTCCCCGCGCCAACTCGTAGATAGAGCCTCTATAGCCGCTTGGCAATTAGGAGGGTGTCACCCGTCACCATCAAAAATAATGTTTCGCTGCTGGGCAATAACTAAATTAGCCAGTAGAGGTTTAGACCCCCACATAACTCCTATTTTTGATTTTAGAATGTCTCAACTACTATGGAGAAGACACGCAGGATCTTTCTATCCATAGTACACCAGCGAGATCTATTAACCTGTCTCAAAAGGGTGATACCGCAAGACCTTCATCCCTCAGATCCTGGACCATCCCAAGGATCACGGCCGAATTGCGCAAGAGGAACATTTCATACCCGGCTACGACCAGGAAAGCCGAATTATATAGGCAACTTAACACCCAGACTGATAACACTGGGGCGGGAGAAGGGTCTAGTAGCGGTCAAGCTTCAGATATTCACGCTGTACTGTCCTCGGTTTTAGCCTCATTAGGTTGTATCACCGACAAATTGTATAAGATGGACTCAGGAAACCAGCTTAATTCACCGGCGACCCTGGTTAATCCTAACGCTGCCATTCTCCCCGGCTCCCAATCTGGTAACAACCCTATTGTTCCAAACAATCCGCATATCATTAACCCGGCACACATGGTACCAGCAAACAGGACATCTTGGAGGGGAAAGATGTAAATTTGGTCTCGCTGCTCATTGCCTCCCAAGATGTCCTTGAAAACAAAACATATGCATACGGTGAGGCGTCTGTTGTGTTGAAATCCATGGACCCCAGACTAAACCGTAAACTGTCTATACCTGAATTTGTTTTGGCCTTTTGGATCTATAGGGATGTGGTGTGTGCAGTCTATCCCGACAGGAGGGAAGAGTTTGATCTTTACCTCCTCAAGCTGGTGGACTTAGGGCACAAGTACAGTGGCATGTCTTTTTACGACTACCGCCGTGCTTTCTCCGCAAAGTCGTCTGCATCACTATCCCAGTTCAATTATCAAGCTGACTGGAGCATACTGGATACTGAACTTTTTTGTAAACACTTTGCAGGCCTGAAGACACCAGCTTGTGCTATCTGTTCTGCTAACTCACACACGGCTAATTTATGCCCTAACTCCCCTGAAGTAAATACCTTCCACCCCGCTAACAGCCTGATACCCACAGGTAGACCAGACAGGGTTCTTAAAGACAAGTTGGGACGCAATATAGTGTTTTTGAGCAAATCTCAAGTCTGCAACAGTTTCAATGCTGGCACTTGCGGGTACAGCGCCTGCAGACTATTACATATCTGCTCCCAATGTTTCAGGGCTCACTCTAAGACAATGTGTCCTAATAAATTGTACCCTAAGCCTTACCTGTCGTCTCTCAATGTCTCTATACTACAAGAATTATTGGGTAATCACCCCTCACAACATCTTGTAGATTTGTTGGTGTCTGGGTTCACAATAGGGTTTCACACAGGTATTTATATGCCAACGGGAATCATTGAATGTAAAAATTTTCAGACGGCCCTTCAGACACTGACGCCATTAATATACTGCTCCAGAAGGAAATAGATCAGGGGTTTTTACTAGGCCCATTCGACTCTCCTCAATACAAACACAATGGATGGAGAATATACTTTTTCCTCTCTTCTCAATATGATGCTGTGGAGATAGAGAGGTATACAAAATAGTGCAGATAACTTAAC